CCCCCCCCCCCCCCCCCCCGCTAGGCTGTCCTGGCCTGTATCAATGTCACCAGCCTGCGCCAGATGGTCCTGCAGTTCTGGGACCTGCCCGAGCTCTGGAGGATCAGCCGGATTGACTTCGTAAGCCGCTGCGCCCCCCCCCCCCCCCCCCCCCTGTCCCCGGGCTGGGCAGGGCGGGCCCTGGGTTTGGTGCCGGAGCCGGGCATGCCGCTGCCCCAGGGTACGGGGTGTACATTGCCAGCTGGCCCAGCCCTCCAAGAGCTGTTCCGGGCCTGCTCCACCCCACTGAAATCGGCCGGAGCAGAGGACTGGGGCCCAGTACGTGCCAACTCCACCAGAGGCAGCGTTCTCCGGCCTATGGGGCACCAGCCTCGCTGGACCCATGGCGTGATCAGGGCCGTGCTCCTTGGTTACTAGCATTAGGGGGGGTTTCGATGACCTGGAGATGCTCCATTGTGCCAGGGCAGTGCTTGGCACAGAGTGAGACTGTCCCCGAACTCCCAATCGAACTAGACAAGGGGTTGGCGGCACGGAGAGGGCAGAGGCCCCAGGGCACACAGCAGTGCCCTACCCACTAGACCACGCTGCCTCCGGAGACTCTTCAGGTAGATTGGCCCCTGGTGTAACCTCACTGGGTCCTGTATGTGTGACCAGCGAGTGTATGAGCCCCGGTGGGACCAGCTGGCCAGACGTCTCCCTTCCCCGTCTCCCCTCTGACCCCGCACTCTCGTTCCAGGCTGTCTGGGTGGTCACCTGGCTGGCCGTGGTGGTGCTGAATGTGGACGTGGGCCTGGCCGTTGGGGTCGTGTTCTCCATGATGACAGTCATCTGCCGCACGCAGAGGTACCGGAGTGCCAGGCGCCCTGCCCTGTCCCACGGCCGGGCTCGCTTGCTGGCAACCTACAGAGCCAGGGAGCTGCATCCGGCTCTGGCATGGGCTGGGGGGCAGCTCTCTCCGCCCCCTGCTCCAGGCACAAGCCCCCCAAGGAGCCGGCCGGCCATGGCTGCTTGGAGACCTGGTGATCAGGGGAGGAGGAAGACGGGACCAGGGTTCCGAGGCAGGAATCTGCCTTCCCGGCTGCTGTCCCTGTCTTTGGCCAAGGCCCTCCCGCTGGGGGAGATGGGAATCTCTTCTCCAGCCGGGACCGGTGCCGGCCCAGCCTTGGCACGGCCAGACGCCTCCCCGCCTGATGCGCCTTCCTCTCCCACAGGGCCGAGTGCATGGCGCTGGGCAAAGCGGCCAACACGGAAATCTACCGGCCTGTCCAACGCCACAGCAAGGTACGGGTGCTGCAGGGCCTGGGTGCGACCTGGGGCTCCCAGCCACCCACCTGGGGCAGGCTGGCTGAGAGCGCTGGGGAGTGGGGTACATTGGGAAGGATGTGGGTGGGGGCTTGCCCTGGGCTCCATTCGGATGGCACCCAGACTGGCCTGCGTAGGGGGGTGTCAGTGTCCCGAGAGGCAGGGCTGATCTCTCAGCCCTCTTCCCCACCCCCATGGGGCAATTCAGCACCCAAACCTCCCTCTCTGTTTGGGGCGGGGGGGAGGGGAGGGCAGACGGACACCCACACCCACGGCCTGCCTCCCATGCTGCAGCCAGCGCTCTGTCCCGTCCCCCCCCCAGTGCTTTGAGATCCCTGGCGTGAAGATCATGGCTTACCACGCCCCCATCTACTACGGCAACCGTGACTTCTTCCGCGAGGCGCTGAGCGAGCGGCTGGGCCTGAGCCGGCTGAGGGGCGGCCGGGGGGAGAAGGCGCTGCGGGCCTTGGAGAGTGGGGCCCAAATCAGCACCGTGGTAAGGGGGCCAGCGAAGATCTGGGGGGGCTGCAGGGAGTAGAGGGGCAGCTCAGTCCTGGGGTGTGGGAGCAGGGCAGATAGGCTCGGACTTGCCCAAATCCTGCCCGTGCCCATGGGCCTGCTGGCCCCAGGATCGTGGGTGAGGGGCTGCTTTCCCAGGGGTCCTCCCCCAGCAGAACCCAGCCGCCGGCATGTCTCCGGAGATGCCCAGCCCTGGCCTAGCAGCGGCTTCTCCCCCCCACCCTGCCCCTGCTGTGGGGTCTCCTTGCCCTCCCCACTGGAGGTGGGACTTAGCTTTGGGCTGGAGGTGGCAGGGGGTATCTTGGGGGGCAGGGGATCCTGGCAGGGCCCTGGGCAGGGTTTTGGGTGACCACAGAGGTGGCATTAACGGGCTTGTGTTTCCCTCAGGAAAACTGTGTCCCCAGCTCTGTGCCCGATAGGGGAGCCGGGTGCCCCAGCTCAGGTACGCAGGGCCCCCCGCAGCTCCCACTCTCCGGTTGGGGGGGGCGCACTGGTATGGGAGGGGGCAGGCGTCTGTGTCACAGGTCCCAGCAGCCCAGGTGGCACGCAGTGGCCCCCTCGTGGGCTGGGAGGGGGGGCTGGGGAGGTGGATCCTCCTCCAGGGGGGTCTCGGCAGGGCAGGGTGGCAGCCCTGAGTCTCCCAGCCCCCGCCCCTCTGTAGGGAGGGGTCTCACTGGCAGCTGTGCTGTGTGGGGGCCCATCTGGCTGGGATCACGGGGCCTGGACCTCATGGGTGTCTCCGCAGAGCCGCCCCATCCTCACGCCGGGGGTCCGTGCTATCACCCCCTCCCCTCTTCTCCGGGCAGGCGCCGCTGGCAGGACCCAGGCCGCCATCCTCGACTGCAGCGGGATTGTTTTCGTGGACTCCGCCGGGGCCCGGCTGCTCATTCAGGTACCTGGGGCGGGGGGGCCCATGAGGGCAGGTGGGAGGCGGGGCTGGGACGTGGCTCTGCCCACTCCTAGAGATGCCAGCCTGCGCCCTCCTTGCCTTGCAGATGTGCGTGGCGTGCCAGAAGGCCGGCATCCGCATGAACCTGGCAGCATGTAACGGTGAGTTGGGGGGGGGGGTCCCCCTGCCCCTCTCCCAGCCCCTCAGTGCCCAGCGCTGCGCCGAGGGGGCTGGGCTGAGCTGCGTCTCCTCCTTTCGCTTGCTGCAGGCGAGGTCCTGGAGACGCTGACCAGCAGCGGCCTGGGGCAGCACCTCTCCCCACAGCAGGTGTTTGTGACGGTCCAGGACGCCCTCGCATCCATCACGCAGACCACGGTGAGGGGGCTGGTGCAGGGGTTCCTCTCTAGGGGGCGCCAGTTCTAATCTGGCTCTAGGCCCGGGGGGGCTGGTTGGGAGAGGGGGGGTCTGATCCGGACCTAGACCGAGTGGCTGGCTGGCCTAGCGGGTGGGGAATGGGACATGGGGCCTTTTCCCCTCTAGGGGGCACTGGCTCCAATCCAGCCCCAGGGTGGGGGGAACTGGACTGGCCAGAGGGCTGGGAGTGGGACATGGGGGGGCTTTCCCCATCCATCTTGGCTAGAGCCAAGCAGGGACTGACAGCTCCAGCTTGTGTGGGGGGGGGGGGGGGGGGGGGCGGTGGGGTGCGGGGGGGGGGGGGGGGGGAGAGCTGGGCTGCCCCACCCCATTCCTGCAGGACAACTGGCTTTGGCAGGGGGGCTGGGGGCAGAATGTGACTCGTGCCCAGGATTCACGCTGCTCTGTTTCCACCCAGGAAAAGGTGGCCGAGAAGAATCCGGCGATCTGGGTGTAGGGGACCCTGCCAATGGAGTGCGGGCACTGCCCGGCCTGTAGAGCCCCCGGGACCAGACTGGCTCTTGGGCCGTAAAAGCAGGTTGATCTCCAAGTGCTGTGAATTCCTGCTCTGCCCACGGGGCCTCCCCGGGACCAGGGGGCCAAGGAGTCGTTCGCAGACCACAGAGCCGGGGTGGGGCAGTTGCCTGCTCCCAGGATGGATGGAGCCTCCTGCCCCAGGTCTCCAGGGCGGACTGACCTACAGCGAGCGGCTCCCCTGGCCTGGCGCCCAGGCAGGGGGGCAGGAGCGGCGCAGGGCGGAGGAGGCAGTCCAGGTGCCTGTGGAGGCAGCGGCCTGTCTGCCCCTGCAGGCCCCCAAAGGATGTGGGGTTCCTTCCTTTGCCAAGACAGTTATGGGGGCTGGGCCCTCTACAGCTGGGAGGAGCACACCTGGGGGCACTGGCATTCTGGTTGGGGGAGGGGGGCAGCTCTGTGCCTCATCCCTCCCTGTCCCTGGGGGGGCCCTCTCCAGTGCCAGGGGAAAGAAAGCTTCACCCCACCAGCTGCAAGGTGATGGGGCCAGGACAGGAGCTGGAATTTAACCCCCCTCGCCAGAGACTCTCAGACAGGGTTTAAACCACAGAAAGGAACCAAAATCCCTTTATTTTATTGTCCTCCCCCAATTGTCTGTGCTGGAGGGGGGGTCCAACTCCCACAGCCCCCCCCCCTGGGGGGGGATGCTGCTTCAGCTGCTGGTGTCACAGGATGGCATGGCATTAGGGCAGGTGTCCCTGACCACTGCACGCAGGGAAGGAACAGCAGGGAATGTGCTTTGGCAGGCAGGGCCTCCCCCTGCCTGGGGTGGCCCCCTGCATCCAGCCCCCCCATGGGTTGAGATGGAGCCCAGCGAATAATCCCCCCCCACACACACACACACTGGCTGACTGCTGGCCCTGGCCCCCAGCACCACCTCCACAGGCTGCATGTGCCTCCTGCCCCCCTCCTAGAACATGCTCCAGCAACCCCAGGCTGGCATCACGCTCCCATCTTGCTAGCAAGGAGAGGTGCAGTGCAGAGCTGGGTCACTGGAGGGGGACATTGCAGCCGTGGGGGGACACAGCCTCTACTGTTACTGCCCCACTGGTTCGGAGGCCAACGTTTTTAAAAAACAAACAAAAAGAGTACAAAGTTTTTCTCTGGTTCTGCTAAAACACGACTGTAGGATTCAGGACCGAGGGGGCGGGACTTGGAGAACCTTTAGGGCAAAGAGAATACTTGCATATGGATTTTTTTTTTTAAATAAAAAACATCTTTTTTTCCCTTAAAACCTCACCTCTCTCTCACTATAGAAAACAGCAGCTGGGGATGGCAGCTCAAGCATCCCATCTGCCAGCCCTGGGTCTCCTGTAGTGCAGCCTGGCAGTGCCTGGCTCCTCAGTCGCTCACATTAAATACACACACACACACGCGACACAAACAGTCCCAGCGTCCTGCCGCCAGTTCCCACAGAGACCAGCCAGCTCCTGCCCCCCCGTATCCTAGATTAGAAGCCAGAACCCTCTGCCTCGTCCAACGCTCTGGTCATGGGGCCTTCTCTGAGCAGTGTGGGGCTGGCCCTTCGCCTTGTGCCCACGCTCTTGGATTCTGCGTAGAAAGAGTCCCCACGCTCCAAAAGAGACCTCAGCCACCGGCCGCCACTGGGAATGACTAGCCCCCCCCCATGGCCGTACCCCTCAACCCAGCCATGGGCGTCAGCCCTTCCCCTTGCTCGAGGGGCTGCCCCCCCCCCTGCAGTCTTTGGCACTTGACGTTGGAAATCTCCCAGGGACGGCAATGGGGGTGGACTGGCTATAACCACTTGGCACAAAATAAAATGGGGCCCTGGTGCTTGTCCTGGGGCAGCTGGGAGGGGCGGGGGCTGTGCCGGTTCTCTCCTGCATGGGGCGCTGGAGAAATCTGGCAGTGAACAGGGGCATGTCTGTCTAGTATAAAACAGCATCTCCTGGGGAAGGTGGGGGCTTGGCCACCGGGGTGCTGTAAGCTCTTCCCAGCCAGCCCTCACCCCCCATCCTGTGGTCCAGGGAATTTCCCAGTATCCCACTGTGCGACTCTGGATTTCCCTAGGGCCTGCTGGGAAAGTGGGGGAGCCTTCCGCCCCCCAGGGACACAGCAGGGCATAGGGATGGCGCTGGGTCTGGAGGCACCGGAGAACTGGGGTAGCAGGGGTCACCTCCCTGGCCTGGTACAAGGATAAAAAGCCCCAGCTCCATGGGGGGGGAGTGGGGCTCTCCCTGGGGTCCGGCTCGCTGGCAGGGCGGGGCCGGTAGCCCGGTGGGGCTAGTTGCTCGTCATACACTTGAAGCGGTTTTTGAAGTAGAAGAGGCCGTATTTGACGCTGCTGTCGCCCGAGGTGGGGTAGCGGAACTTGGCGTACTGCCTCTCGCTCTCCGACTTCTGCCAGGGCAGCTTGAGCTTGGACGCGTGATCCACCACCACGTCGGCGCACGAGCCCACGTGCAGCACGCCCAGCCCGTCGATGAAGAACTCTGCCGGGGAGAGGGCACGGGGGTCAATGCAGGAGGGGCCGGGTCAGCCGGCCCAGCAGTGTATGACTGGGGGTGGGTGCGGGCGGCTGTGGGCAGCGGGGATCGAACCAGCATCCCAGATCCTGGGTCTTCCCAGGATCTGACCCCTGAGACACCCCCCGGTGTCCCCTCCCACTGACCCCCTCCCCATCTGGATGCAGTGGGGGGGACAGGTTGCCCAGGGCTCCTGGGCACCGGGCGCTGCCGCCCCTTGGGATTTCGGGAACCAGGCCCCAGAGGCAGGAAACTGCCACAAAGCGTCTTGTTCCCCGGGTCCTAGCAAGTGGCAACTTCTGTTTAGCACGTCAGCTCTCCGGGTGGCACCGGCCTGCCTGGCTAACCGCCATGCGGTAATGCTGACAGCCCTATTGCCTCGGTTGGCCAGGGACCCCCGTGTGCCCTGCAATGGAGCCCCATGTTAGCACTCCCATGCCACAGAGAGGGAAACTGAGGCAGGGGGAGGTGACCAATGCCACAGTGAGTCAGTGTCAGAACTGGGCATAGAACCTAGGAGTCCTGGTTGCCCCCCTGGCTCTAACCACTAGACCCCACTCCCCTCCCAGAACTGGGGATAGAACCCAGGCATCCTGGCTCCCAGCCCCCGCCCCTCCTGCTCTAACCACTAGGCAGGTGCTACAGTGGTGTGGTGCAGCCCTGTCACAAGCCCTCCCCCGCACTCACCGAGGTGGGCGACGCGGCTGAGCCGGGGGTCAAACCCCACCTCCAGCACCTTGGCTGTGTGGGCCAGGAAGAAGTTGACAACGCCGTCGGTGACCACGCAGCCGGGGAAGCCCTCGAGGAGGTGGTGGTAGCCCTGGCGCGTCTGCAGGCAGTCGCCCTCCTCGCCACCCGCCTGCACGCTGATCTTCTGCCGGTAGGTGGTGGTGACCCCCGTGATCTCCCGCACTCCGCCCCCCACCTGCCAGACACACTGATGTGAGCAGGGGGATGGACGGGCTGCCTGGGGCAGCACGTGGGGCCCTGGGCCAGCTCCCACCTCCCCTGGGGGCCCTGGGCCAAACCCCCCCTCTCCTAGGCCAGCTCCCCCACCTCTCTTGGGCCACCTCCCCCGCTCCCCCGGGGGCTCTGCACCAGCTCCCCCCTCCCCTGGGTCTCCCTCCCTCCCCTGGGGGCGGTGTGCAAGGAGCTCCGACACCTGAATTCTTTCCCGTGACCCATCGTGCCCCGCTGCCCCCTGGGGCGAGGACTCGGGTGCCCCCAATGCACCGGGGCGGGAGCCGCATGGTGCAGGGGATAAGGATTTGGGGGTCCCCGTCCAGCTGGGACAGCTCCTGCGACTCCCACCATGTCATGTCCCACAGTGGCCACTAGGGGGCTCCCCTGCCCTCCCTGCGGGGCTGGCCCCATGGCTCCATGCTGAGCTGTGGGGGTGGGGGAGCGGCAGAGTGGGGGGCGGGGGGGGGGGGTTGGAATCCCCCCCTCGGGAGCCCCCCCCCCCGCGCCCAGGTGTGGCCGAACTCCCCCCAACATCCCCAGCCAGGCATGATCTGGGGCAGGGATAGCTCGGTGGTTTGAGCCTTGGCCTGCTAAACGCAGGGTTGTGAGTTCAATCCTTGAGGGGGCCATTTGGGGCAAAAATCTGCCTGGGGATTGGTCCTGCTTTGAGCAGGGGGTTGGACTAGATACCTCCTGAGTTCCCTTCCAACCCTGATAGTCTATGATTCATAACTGGACATCCTGCAATTTCCCACCCACAAGGCATGGCCGCCCCCCCCATTCACCCCCAGGCGCAGCCCCCCCCCACACTCACCAGGTCCAGGCTGGTTTTCTCCAGCACGTCCACCAGCTTCTCCACCCGGGTTCGGGGCGTGAAGATGAAGTCGTCGTCCACCCACAGTACGTACTTGGTGGTGACCTGGGAAATGGCCAGATTGCGCCCTGCAAACCAGCCCTGGGCGTGGGGTGGGGGGGAAGCAGGGGACACGTCAGTGCCTGGCCCGGCCCCCCGAGCCCTACCCCCTCCCAGTCTCTTCTGACACCCCCCCCCGGCCCTGAGCCCCAAGCTTCCCACGCCCGTGTCTCCCCCGCACCTTGCCGAAGGGCATGAAGTACTGCTCTATGTGGGGGCCCCCCACGGGCTCGGGGTGCTGGCTGTCGTCCGCGATGATGATGGTCACCGTGGGGTAGAAGCGGCGGATGCTGGCGATCAGCGCCCGCAGCTTGTCGTACCGCAGGAAGGTCTTGGTCGCAATGGTGACCAGGGCGCTGATGTTGTAATCTGCTGGGAGGGGGGCAAGAGGTTTGCAGGGAAGGGGAGCAGCACCCCAGGGAGGGGGGGAACCTGCCTTGGGGGGACAAGCGCCCCCTGCAATTCCAGCCTCAGACAGATGCTGCTGGGTGCCATCTGATCAAGCTGGAGAGGCTGAGATAGGATTCAGGGGAGGGAGGCAGTGGGAGGCTTCCGGGGACCCCAGTCATGCGAGGAGGTGCAGGCAGGATTCAGGGGGACCCCAGGTTGTGGGGGATAGTGGGGGGCAGGATTCAGGGGGACCCCAGGTTGTGGGGGATAGTGGGGGCAGCCTTGACCCTGAATACCGTGGGCTGACCTTTCCCTCCCCACTGCAGAAGCCCGTAGGTCACCCGGCACAAGCCCCCCGATCCTCACGGGGCCCTGGCACTCACCTCCACCATCGCCCGGGGCACCTGGGTTATAGAGCTTGGGCGTGGGCGTGTGGCGGATTCGGATGGTGAAAGACGCCTGGTGCCCATCGGTGGCAAACTGCACTGGAAAACAAAGGGGGAGACGGGCACTAGGAGGGGGAGGGGTCAGTGCAGAGGAAGTTCTGGGGTACAGGAGCCCCCCCCAGCAGGAGGGGTCCCCCAGGGGCCCAGTACCCCCCGGATTCCATGGCGGTCTCTCCTCTCTCCCGCAGCCCGGAGCGGGAGCCACCTCGACACAGGCCCCTTTGTGCTCCCGTCCCACAGCAAAGCTGGCCCCGGGACGGGAGGAGACAGGCCAGCCGCGTTGCCCAGCCAGTCTCTGCGGTTTGGGGGCTGGGAATATTCCCCTCCCCACAACACGACAGCCCTGGGGGCAGCTGCCCACTCTTTATGGTGCCCCGGATTGGCTTCCCCCACCTGGTGTTTTGCAGCTCTACCCATGCCAGGGCTGCCTGATGGCTCCGGATACTGCCCTCTCCTCTGGCCTCCCCCATGTCCTGAGCCCCCCTCCCCAGCCCCCTGCTCCGGAGCCTAGCACACGAGTGACAGCAGCCCCCCCCAGGGAGAACTGGGGTGTGACCCAACAGGCTCCAATCAGAGGCTGCTGGGGGGGGGGGGAGGAGCTCAGGCCAAAGGGGCAGACGTTAGGGGTGATGCCCCAGAGAGGGGAGTGCTGAAGACAGCACCAGCCCGTGGCCGCCCGCCCCTTGGAAAAGCAGATTTGGCAGGGGGGTGACAAAGGGGGAATTTTCTGCAATGTTCAGCTGAGGCCTGTGTGTGCCGCAGTTTCCCTCTGGACTTTGCCTTGCTACCCGGGGATGCAGATGGGTTCCAAAGCTGCTCCCGGGGCAGAGCAGGAAACACGGTGGCGGGGGGGGGGGGCAGTCAGGAGACAGTCTGGGGTGGGACGAGCGGGTCCTTAAAGGACTGGCTGAAACTGCCCCAGATCAAGGGAGGGGCTGCAGGATCCAGACAACGGCCTGCCAGGGGGCTGGGAGAGCCGTGGCAGCTCCCCCGTTGGTTGGCAGAGAGAGTCCGGGGGGCAGAGCCTGAAGGGGATCCCAGGGCAGTTTGGCTTTGATTTGTGCGTGCGCAGGGACACGGGGCCAAGTGGGAGGGCTGGAGCCCAGGGGCTCCGTCTCGGAGGCGTTGCGCCTGACCCTGTGGGACGCCTGGGTCCCTCTGGGAGTCCGGCCCGCTGCAGGGGCTGTGTACCAGCTGGGGTGGAGCCCAGATCCCAGGGACAAGAAGTACGGGGCCTGGCTGGGGCGCAGCTTGGACTGTCCAGAGAGGAAAAGGGGAAGGGGGCTAAATGGGAGGGTGGGAATATAAACACTGATGGGTGTGTGGGGGGGTGTCGGTCTTTTAAAAACTGCTCCATTCTGTGGCTGCCCCCCAATTTCTATGGTTGCGCCACCCTGACCGACCGGGCAATACCCTGGAATAATGCCCCATTGTGTAGTGCCCTTGTAGCAGGGCGATCACCCCGCTCCGGCCCTGAAAGGGTCAGAGCTGCCTGGGGAGGGCTGCAGCAGGGTAAGAGGGCTGGGGAAGCTGAGTGGGTGGCTGGTTTAATGAGGGCCCAGCTGGCCCTTATAAGAGGGCTGGGGGGAGCTGTGGAAAGGGAAGGGCCTGGCTGCTGGAAGCTGAGCAGGGCTGGGGAAAGGCCAGAGGAGCTGGGGAAGCGCTGGCCTGGAAACCCCCCAGGCTGCAGGCCTTGCTAAAGGCTAAGAAGGGTACTGGGGTTGCAGGGGGCAGGCCAAGGATAGGCAGAGGCAGCAGGTCCAAACCCTCCTTGCCAGTGATGAGTGGCCATTATACTGCAGTCTGCCCCAGGGCGCGGGGGCTAGATGGTGACTGGCAGTAGCCCAAGACTGAGGTGAGGTGGGGATAGGGGGTTGGGAGACGGCGGGGTACTGCACGGGGCGGAACCCTGAGGTAAGGGGCACTGGGGTCCGGGAGGGACACCAGGGCCAGCGGCAAGCGAGACACCGGCCTGCAGAGGGCGCTCCTGAGTGGACAGAGCTAGTTCCCAGGATGACCAGCAGGAGGCGCCGCAGCGGTGAGTCATTGCCCTGTTACAGCCTGTACTGATCCTGCCCTCTCCATGAATTATAGACTC